GCTTGGTGTCGTCGACAAACTTACTGAGGGTATGGCTATCAATGTTTCTCAAAATATTATTAATCAAACTGTCATAAAGCTTGAGCACAAGAGGTTCCACAAAAACATTACGAAACACTTTTTCACTGTGAGGGTGACAGAGCACTGGCACAGGCTGCCCAGAGAGGTTGTGGAGTCTCCTTCTCTGGAGACATTCAAAACCCGCTTGGACGCCTTCCTGTATGACCTACTGTAGGTGATCCTGCCCTGGCAGCGGAGCTGGACTAGATGATCTTTAGAGGTCCCTTCCAACTCCTGACATTCTGTGATTCTGTGAAAATCACCAGCAAACGTGACTAGTGTGCTTTCACTAAAAGAACCTTGCTTCATGACGCTTCCTACTGCCTGCCACACAGCATCACAAACCTTCCCTCACTTGACTAAATGGAGAAGAAGATTCCTCAAACAAGGAGCAGACTCCACCCTGAACCTGGTGCTCAATGTCACTTCCTGCAAAAAAAAAGTCTAGAAAAATGGCTGTGAATCCTTGCTGTATATATTCTCTAATCTCGTCTCACTTTTTGAATAATATCTTTCAGGTCTGATGAGTTGAGCCTGCCCAGCAGCCTCCCATGCGGTGGTAGTGCCTGTCCAGGTGTGGTGAATGCTTCTTGACAAGCTCCCCAGGTTACATAGAAGGTATCTGTAAAAACAAAAGGAAACATTTGAAAGTTTAGGTGTTCAGCTCATCTGCTATCTGACTTGATCGGAGTGATTTGATTAGGCAGTTCCTAAACAAGTATTTCGTGTAGTGTGCCTCAAATGGTTTACCTGCCATATTGTCCAGAACATCTGAGCCCCAATCACCTTGAAACACTTTCATCAAAATATTATCAAATACGTGAAGTTCTTTCATGCCAACAATTTTATCACGGAACAAACGACATGCTTCATAAGCAACAATTTCCAGTACATAGTCTGCAGTTTGTATTGATGATCCTACAAAATTTAAGGAGAGGTTTAACTTCGTAAATTTATAATAAATTTTACATTTGTCAAATTTTCCCTTTCAAAATAAATTATATATTGAAAATAAGTAAGTGAAATTACATACCAACAAGAGAGCATCAGTAAGGAAGAAAAAAAGAAAAAGAGTGAACATTAAGAAGTGTTTTTCAATAATATCTTCACAGATCATTACAAGATAAAACACTATTAAAACTAGATCTCCAGGTTATTGACAGCATTCTAATGAAAATTAACAAGGCGTTGCACACGAAGTAAAATTTAAAAAACAAAATTTCAGGCAACGAAAACAAGAAAATCCAGGAGATTGTTTTAAAAGGGAAGAGAAAGACTGATAACAAATACTAAATTAACAACAAATATCCAAGACAGACTGTATCATAAAATGCCACTAGGAAAATACAAAGCTTCAATATTCTTCACAAAAGGAGGAAGGTGAGATGAGTGACTGACGTGTCATTCTTGTTCATCAGTGAACGTCACCTTAATGCATGTCACCTTAATGACTCTGTGATTCTATGATTCAGATCACGGAATCATAGAATGGCCTGGCTGGAAGGGACCTTAGAGATCATTTTAATCCAACTTCCCTCTCATGGGCAGGGATGTCACCTCTCGACTAGATCAGGCAACACATGGGGACAGCAGTGGAGTCCTTCAACCAGCTGAGATTACCCGTTCATCAGCCATCGGTGCAGCTATCCTGACCCCATTCAAGCTGCATTTATACCATCTGATGATCCCAAAAAATAAACGGAAAGTAAGCACAATATTCTTACCACACTTGTACTGTTTAAGCAGCCCGCTATGTAACCCTGTAACTAATATGAGCTAAAATACAATACGGAGTAATTGCTCATCATCTAGTAATAATAGAGATTTCAGAGACAAAACCAAGATTAAAAAGAAGTCTCTGCTGTCTATCTGGTAAAGCACACCAAATTTAATACCTTTACAAATTCATCCATTTGCAAAGTTAAAGAAAGATGAACTTTCCAACTAGGCTGCAATTATCAAGCATTCCCAAATCGTGAGCATTTTTAGGCTCTTTTATAGATCTTTATAAACTTTTACACGGATGAGATGTTTAGGTGTTTTCTATATGTTTAAGGATGGATATATGCTTCTTTGTTAAGCAGGTCACATGTGATGTGTATCAGTTAATAGTTCCAGTCATCTCTCTAGTTTTATATAAACAGGTGTAAGAAACAGGCATGAGAGGCAAGTCTCTGGGAATCCAGAAGACAAGATATATGCTCAGAAAACCCAAACCCCCAAAAATGCAGAAAAAAATGGTGAGGAGTAGGGGATACACTTCAAGTTCCCATAGTAGACAATGCATTCCCAGCCTACTAACTTCCCTTAATCTATAAGTAGCTCCCACATATATTTTAAAACATTACTGGAGAGGTTTTTTAATTGTTTACTATATGTTATGGAACTAACCATCAGGCATTTTTCCCCTCTACTGAGTTACAGACAGTTCATAGTTCAGAAGGAGCAGCACAAGTCAACAAGCTGCATGTGGAGTCGACAGTAAAACTTAACAGCAACAATAATTTAGGCCATTTTAGAACTGATTTAGTAACAAAAAACAAATAAATTACTTACCACCTGCTAAATCATATCTGAATAAACCAAGAACCCACTGAGTAAGAATACATGGTGTAAAGAGGTAATGACTGTGATCATCAACTGTGAATTTTGCTCGTACCTAAAAATGTAAGTTAAGAGGGGAATGACGTTTTAAAATGTAGCTTTCAATTTTTTCTAAAATACCAGACAGGTTAGTTTTCTATTTGGTCTATGAATTTAGATACTTCACTTATGTAGTCTCTGGTTTTTTTGAAAAGTGCAGAGATCAACTGTTTAAACCTTGTTTTCCGATCACAGAAGACTTTCTCATAATTAGCGCATTTCTTCTGTACCATTTTTTGATGCAAACAATGACACATCACCTAAGACTTCAGTATTAGACAAAACATAATTTATTTAAAGCAATACCAAATATAAAATGTAAAGGAATTATAAAAGTGTACTAACAAACTACCTAAATCAGCAACACCTAGTCACTACAAAAGACCTCTTACAGAAATCCTAACTATTCCTCCAGAGAGGATATTTGAATCTACAAGTGTATCTTTAATTCAAAGAATAACTGCCTTCATCAGCTATCGGTCCTAGTGTGATGAGATTTAAACTTAGGTTTCTTAGAATGCATGAATAACATGATATGAAACTCCTCCTAACTGGTGCATGCCACCCAGTGACTTCATGTTGTAAAGATCAGTTTTCTATCACGGTTCTGTGTAGATGGGGACAGGCATACGTTTTTGGGACTTACATTAAGCACCTACATCCCCAAAGTACCTGCAGCAGACAGATGAGTGAATGTTTGCTTTCAACATTTCTTTGCATTTTACAAACCCCCAGCTTGGTCAAAAACAAGATCGGTTTCTGGCCCAGTATGGCAAACTGGTAAGTGCCAAATGGAATGTGGTATAGGGAAGCAGGAAACAGATGCCTCAAACAGCCTTGGCCTGAATATGCATGAGATAAGCAGTCTTGTGAAGGCATATGAGGTATATGGAGATATGGTCGTAAACAATGAAATGCCCTCTTTCCAAAAAAAAGAGTGTATAAATTGAAGTGGGAAAAAGCAAAATGTTAGACATGAGATAGGAGACAGAAGAAGAGAAGAAGCACGGAGACAGAGCTGAAGACAACAAGAAGTAGTAGTGCAGGACAAGAAGTAAAGATGACAGTATTCTTGAACCCTTGTTGGAGGGACCAATACAGGAACCTGGACCGGTGATCTCTGTCTATCTTTTCGCCCCTCTCTCCTTCCCTTCTCTTTCCTCTTTATTTCCCTTTCCCTTTTTTCACTAAGTAATGCAAGGCCTCTCAAACTGCTTGCTTAGTTTATCCTTATTTTCTTTCTTGTAATCGTTAAGTATAATACTGCCTGTTAAAAGTTGTTACATGTCCTTTTTCCTTGTTATCATCATAACACGCAACTTGCTGTAGTTTGTTGTATAGCTAGGCTTTTCCTGGTTATCGTTCAGCCATAGTATATTCCTTGCCCTAATGTGTCATGTAGCTAAAACCAATTATTGTTAGTCTGATCCATACATTGTGAGAAATTAATAAATGTTCGTGTATGGATCTTGAGACTTGTCTCACTATTGTCCACTCTGTTTGGGAAGTACAAATCTAAGTCACTTGTCCCCCCATCCTGGGCAGGACGTGACAAGTATCTACCCCAGCAAGGCTGTGTACATGATTAACCAAAGCAAATACTTTACTGTTTTGCTAGACAGAAGTCCATGAAATTTTAAGTGGGAAGATAAAATGAACTTTTGTGTCAAAATATCTGTTTTTAACAGTTGAAGATTTTAATAGTTAGTCCTTGTGTGTAAAAGACTACATGCTCACATCTCTCTTCTCTATTCATAACAGCATCTATAACACCTGAGCATGTAACAACTTGTGAAGTACGCTGTCTCCTCATCCATTGAGGAGGAAAACACTACCACCAACATTTTATAAATTGGGTTAAGGTGCTTGCCAAAAACCAAAAATAAATCTGTGGGAAAGAAAGAGCACTTACTGTTTACTCGGTTTGCCTCAAATACCTTGTTTTCCCTGAAATATAAGTAGCTCTAAAACAGATATGAGCATTATGAAACTATATAAACATAGATTTAAATACTGATAAACCTTTTTATTCTCTATCAAAAGTTAATTATTTTAAAACATATTCAAAATTCTCAATCTTCTTGGAAAAAGAAATTAAATTTCCATACCTGTTCGTATACTTGAACCATAGATCCTGCTAGCTGATGTATTTTTGGTAAAGAACCCCAAACAGGATGATTCTTTAGGTTTTTCTGCAGTACAGGTTCCAGGTAGGCACTATAAATAGCTTGTAGTTGGTCTCTTTCTGGATAGCTAGAAAGGGGAAAAAAAAAAAAGTAATCATTATGGGCTATCATTATTAATTTCTTTATTAAAAAGTTCCAAAGTTATATATACAATTACTGAGAAATTTCAATGGCTAGCATGTCCTTCTAGTAGCTGAGTAAAATTATCATTTTATTGCAATAGGCCATCCTCAGAAATGTTATGTATCTGTAAATGTGTTCGAACTTAAGAACAAACAAACTTCTCTTTAACTCTCTAATTTTGTAACCCACCAATACCTTAATATAAAGGTGTAGAAAGCAGTTTATTTAAAGAAATCATTGAACAGGAAACATAACTCAAGTACTTCACTATCAACAGGGAGCTAGAGGTTGCCCCTTAGCTGCTTCCTAGTGCCAGGAGGTACCAAATAGCTCCAGATCTGATGGTCCCAAACTGTTAGAAAAGATGAAAGACTAGAACTGCTACATCTTCGTAAAGACTAAATTGAGCAAGAGCCCTGTAAACAGAGGCTGAATCTGAATTCTGAGAATCAAACTAATTTCCACATACTTACTCAATTGTACAGAGACGAACAATAGAAGTAAATCTGGAGGTGAGTTTATGTCTTCCTAATGTTCCCCCAGCAGACATGGAAGCCACAATTTGGATGTTTTCTAAACCAACCCATTCCAGATTTTCATCATAAAATCCTTGATATGTAAGAACCTTTAATAATTAAATAAATTTTTCATTAAAAGAAAGCCAACAGAGTCTTGTAACAAAACAAAAGAAACCAAACAAAAACAGTAGTAAAAAGTGTACCACTATTACTATTCTCTTAACTGCCAGAGGTATATTACTCCTCCCAGGTTGGTGTCAGCTGCAAATTGGCTGAGGGTACACTTTGCCGCATTGTCCAGATTGTCGACGAATACGTTAAACAGGCACTGACTTCCAACTAGACTTTGTGCCGCTGACCACCACCCTCTTGGCCTGGCCCTTCGACCAGTTTTCAACCCACCTCACAGTCTGCTTCTCCAGCCCTCACAGCTTTTCTCTGAGGATCTTTTGGGAGACAGCACCAATGGCCTCAGCAAAGTCCAGACAGACCACATCCACTGCTCTCCCCTCACCTACCAGGTCTGTCATCTCATCATAAAAGTTTATCAAGTTAGTCAAGCATGACTTGCCCTTGCTGAATCCATGCTATTACTCATTATTTTCTTGTCTTTCATATGCCTACTGCATTACAACTCACTCAAGGGAGCACTGTCTTTATTTACTTATGCATATGAGACAAATAAAAATGGTATCTTATTTCCATTTGACACCTTCATATTCTGCCAAAGTACAAACAAAAATAAAGTCAATACAGACAGAGGATGTTAACTCTGAAACTAATCAGTATAGGTATTTACTATGTGCACTACACTAATTCCAGTACACTTAAGTCTCTTTATAACAGACATAACTTTTCACCTGCTGTAGAAAAGCCACAAGAGTGCTTGTTCCCCATTTATCAGGTTTGGGTAGATTGATATCCTTTAAGTATAACACGAGCCTTTCGCAGTCCTTCGGTCTATACACTCGCCCCGTGTTTGTACTGATTACAATGCAAGTTTGACTTAATTTTTGTAGCAGATGTTGAGAAGTAGTTTGTGCGCTGCAGTGAATGGTAGCGATCTGAGTGGATCGGAGTTGAGAAAATGCATAATGAAGCAGCATCCTAAAAAAGCAAATGTGTAAATACACATAAACCATCAGTAATTTATAAATGCATTAAAATACTGTGCATCCAAGGATACGTAGGTTTTGAATGAAAATGCATACACTACATGCTGTATTAATGCAATAGGCAATATATGAGGTTTGCTGAATTAAATGCTCTTGCCTTTAAAACTGCACTATTTTCCATTAAAAAAAAAAATCATTAAAAGTGTAGTATACAGCTACAGAAAACAAATACCTAGCCTGAAAACCTTGTATATAGTGATCCAGTCCACCTAAATAAGAAATCTAAGCTAGGTGACAGGATGAGCTAAATTCAGCTGCCTGCACCCAGTGCCTTTTGAGGTGAGACTGGATACTTATGTGCTTTTCAGCTGTTGCTCCATGACAGTACAGGGTTTCCAAAGGTCCTGTTTCATATCTAAAAGCCTCATTCTTAGCTGCACAGTGGCAGCCTGAACTTTCCCAATCTTCCTATGAATTTGCCTATTTGTCACTATATAAGGTTTGTTTAATTAAGTAACATAAACAAGTGTTATTGTAGCAGAAAGTCATATGATAAAGCTATTATAATGAAATATTAAAAACTCTGTCACATAGCTAGAAGTATATTTTGCTTAAAATAGGAAATACTTTTTACCCCTTTCCACATCCTTCAGGACCCACAAGAAGAAATGACTGCTTATTGGTAAAGTCAAGCCAGGGTTTAAAATAATCTAAACTTCTCTGCATGTCAGGAGTTTGGATGACAGGAAGTGTTTGGAGATTACTGAAGTCATCTGCTGTTAGGTTTTCAGGTTTTTTCAGCTGATATAGCATTAGCTGTCCAGTGTCAGTGTCGTAATACGTATCCAGGGGCCTCCTTGGATCTGGTGGAGATTCTTGCGCCCAGCTGAAGATCTTTAAAAAATAAAAATAAAGCTTCTGTTAAATTCATACTCTTAATGACAAGATTTACAATTTCAAGCTAATTTAAAGAATGTTCTAAGAATATGTCTGCAAAATTGAACATTTAAGGCTTCAATTTGATAGCTTTAAGGCTGCCTTTGAAAATTCAATCATGTTACGCATATGCTTTCTAATTAAGTCCTTAACTAAACAGTAATGTATTATTCTTCCACATATTATGTTCTCATAATCTAGAGAATATAAAATAAACTGCATTTATCAAAGCTTTATATAAACTTTTCTTCATATTAGGCAACATACTTAATCGTAAGAATGAGATAACTCCTTCACATGCATCATTAGCTAATTCTAGAAGCCCAGTCTAAACCTTTATCACCTCCTTTGTATACATGTTACAGTTCCAGGTGGTCATTTAGAAGGAATTTTCTCCTTCCCTCCAACACAAAGCTCAAGCGTGACTGTGGAGATAACTATCTCCAGGGACAGCCTCCTGCAGACACTAGGGCCAAGTATACTCTCGTAGTTTTTCAGCACTGTTCCCTAGTCCTTTTGTCCTCAGGTACCTACACAAAAGATAGAATCGCACCCCAGCGCATACAATACATAGCTCAAAATATGCAGTATGAACTCCCTGGTGAGGTGCAACAAAACCATCATCATTATTTCAAGCATTCCGAATAAAAAAAAAATTAAGAAATAAATCCCACACAAAAGGAGTCTGTATTACATATACACAATGGATTACACACATGGAACCTGCTATAGTGGGTCCTTGCACAAAGCCATATGGACAGAGGCCACTCCTTATCAGGCAAAGGGTGCCGTCTGGGCTAGATGCACTCAGCAGCGTAATACCTGCCATGTATCTGTGACATATGAAATATTCCTTTACTTCTCAGCCATTTCCCTATAGACTACACAGACTGCAAACAAATCAGAGCACAGATATTCTATTATTGTAAATCTGCATTGCTACAAGACAGAAAATCACTATTCCTACTACACAGACTGATAAATATTAAGAAACTTGCTGAAAAAAGATTATTACCTCTTTAGCAAACTCTTGTCGCGATTTCATGTTAAGATTGCCACCAAGACCACGTAACAAGTTAATAATAAACTGTCCACGATCAGTACATCCATGGAGATGAGATAGTCCATTCATCACAGTTCCAACTAAACTCGTTTCTACCACCGAGTCATTCTGTAAATTGCAAGTGTTATTAGATTTAGTAGATTTAAATGCATTCCTAAAAACAAATGTGGTGTATTGCTAGCAGGCTATTATTTCAATGAACGTCCCAGAATCCATAAAATGCACAAGGTTTTTGGACTATTATTTTTAATATTCTAATTACATATTATGTTTTGCCTATGAAAACGTTTTTCAGTTAAGGTTTTAGGCAGAATCCTAAAGCGCTAAAGTTACGTACTTAAATCCAGGACAGATTAGTGGGATCTGTTAAAGTTTAGCATTCTGAAAAATCAGATTACTTTTTTTAGACATGCTTCAATCAATCTTTTTAAGTATCTAGTACTGCATTTCTCTCTGACCTACTACAAGCTTCAGCCAACACTCTGAAACTTCTCAAATTTAAGCCACTTGTTTTGTTATAGAGAGTAACTTAATTGTAGAAAGTCAATTCCTTCCCTTATTACTTTAGACATTGAGATCTTTCTGATCTTTGAAAATTTACAGGAAAATGTCCAGTACGGAATATTAAAGACATACACTAAATTTCATGCAATTATATGCATTTCATTAGTTAAAATTGTATTAAATGTTCCAAAACTTTTTGTACAGCAATTAGCTTTTGGGAATTGATAACAATAGTTCCAGTATTAATCTTATTAAGAAAACAGGTATCAAAAAAGCTTTCATATGAATGACGTCCTCAGTGTTAAACTAGGAAAAAAGGATCATCCTTAACAGAAGCTGAAATCTGATTAAGTATTCAGTCACCAACCTTCTTCACAACCCAGTTTAAAGCCTTTTCAAAGTAGTCCCCAATCCAATTTTCAAGGTTGTATCTGCATTCTTCAGGCTGACTTCTTAGCCAAGACTTTATCAGAGAATTAAGATCTGTATCTTCATCACTACATCAAACCAAATCAAAACGAGATTCAGAGAAACACATGGCATCTACATCTTCACACACACAGGTTCAAAGGAACACAAACTTCTAGTAAAAGTTCAGGAAAATATTTTAACAGGAATTTCTAACCAGTATTTGGGGTCTCTAAGGGTCACACACAAGCAAAGAATATGTCATATCTCTTTCAAAAAGGCATATATAAGCCAAAAGATTTTAACATGACAGGGCAGAAGGGACATGTAACCTAAAGTAAACTTCCCGAGTGATTTGCTTCATAAGCGTAAACAAGTAATTAAATTCTTCCATCCACTTTAGACTATCTTTAAAGAAAAGTAAGTATATTTGCTTACTTTAAAAGTATGTAGTACTCCTGTGACTTACCTCAGAAAGATCATTCCCATTCGAGATATTGTAGCAGGAGAGGCACAGCTAAGGTCATGAGTTTCAAATATAAAGTTGACATTTGAGCCAAACTGAATTCTTTCTCCGCTGGGCATAGTCAACAATCTGTTGTCATCCAAAACTGAATTCAAAGATTCAATCCATTCAGGATCTATATCACCATCACAAATTATCCATGAAGTAACATCTATTTGCAGACACAAAAATAAAATTTTAAACACAAGAAAACCACCTCTTGCTATTTTAACGTATTTAACACTCTTCCTTCATTATTACTTAAATGTAAGCTCTGTGAAGATACTATTATATGCTTTACCTTCTGCTGTCTACTTTTGCTTTCTTAGCACAAAATTTGGGAAGTATTTATTAGTAGTCTTGCCACAGAAAGTTCTTCTTAACTTACACTATCCACAAATACTAACACAACATAAAAATGTAATGAAAAATAAATAATTCCAGTAATTTAAGCATAATGATGTATAACTCCCTCACAAACATACCTCGGGGTTCTCGTACCACTTGTCGAGCGCTATTTGTAAGGACGCCATCAGACCATTCTCTGGTATCCATGTCAATGTGACCAAGCAACTGGTGTCGGGGCATAGCTTTGGGATTCATAGTGTACTGTTTCACCACTTTGCCAGTTTTGCCAAGTGCTGTCTTTAACATCCGCCACAGTGTCGATTTCCCTCCGCCACTGGGACCTACAATCACTACACCCATTCTTTGACATAGTTGTTCATATAATTCCAAAGCCTTCTTGATCTAGATAATGAAAGACATAATAGCTATGTGAAGTGGTAAAGTTACATCAATCATGTTCTTTTTGTATGTTTTGCTAATTTATTTTGCATGCAGTCACTTTGTTTCTGTGAGTTTGTTTTTCCAAACAATAGATATTTGCAAAATTAAATAATATTATGATACTAAAGAATATCAAGAAATTTATTGCGTTTCACTAAATTATTAGTATAAAGATACCAGTCCTCTTTGGGCATATATTTACGGAGAAATTAATGAACCTTTAGCCACATGTTCACATCTTCATTTTCCTTGCACTATTTTTCTTTCAGTTAAACAACTGACCTACCATGATTCAAATACAAACATTGATTTTTTGTATACATGTAATTAGAATCTAAATATCAGTTATTATCACTTTTTTATAGAAGATTTCTTTCAATGTAAACAAAATTGAGTCAAATTAATGTAATGTTAATCAGTTCTAATTCAGAATAGCTCGTATTGTTTTGTTGCTGTAGCTGACGTTTACCTGGCTGCTTATGATTTCCAAGTTTGCTTCTTCAAAGACTTGTTGTAAAGCTGTAGTTAACTCAGCATACTCCACATCTTTAAAGTCAATGCCAGGAAACACATCTTTAACCAGCGCATCAAAACGTGCACAGTCGGCAAATGTAAGCTTTGACATGGTGTTAAGCCGCAGAGCTTGAACCACCATGTGACTTTCATTAACTGGAAATAAAAGCAAAGAAGTCAGATCAATTTAAATTGGTTGTTGTTGGTTTGGTTTATTTTCCCTTTGGAATGTATCAGCACTTGAACTCATACTGCTGAGACATAGAAGTGGGAATCGCAGCACAAACTACATTCCAGTTCTCACACATCTGAGATAGTTATGACGTTGACCAGAGAGCACACAATTCTTTGGCAGATGCAAACGAGTCAATTACAAATTCTTTAAAGTTGTGAGACTATTTGTTAGGCCAAGATTTTCAAACCAAGGCTGTCTCCAAAATCTTTCAGATATATGCTGTTTAAGTGAATGGGAAGTCCTAAAGATGCAAAACACTCATCCAGCCCGCACTCTTTAACATCTAAATAACAACGATCATTTAAAAATTCTTTTTAAAAAAAGAGGGATACAAACAAGTCTAATACATTTCTATCATTTCTACCTGTCCTTATATTTGTCTCTGTCTATCAGGCTGAATTTAGTGCCATGTGACAATTTTAGCAAATCAGTCTGATGACTGATGAACAATGGCAACATTAGAGGATCAACTTTCAGGTCCTAAACTACATGGAGAGTCTTTGAGAATCACTCAAAATCATCCCAGAATGAAGTCCTGTATCTATGTTCTTAGCATACAAACAGTCAATCTAAAATACAACAGTCTTCTGTGATCTCCAAATGAAGAAGCAATTTCACAGTCAACTTTTTTCTTTTCTAAACTGCCTACAGATCCACCAAGCCATGGCTTCTCAAATATCCAGTGAATAAGAAAGCTGCACTGAATGGTATCTGTGCAATATCCTAAATAATCAAAAGTTGCGCAGGGTCAACCTTACTTTCTTGCTTCGCTTCACTTTTCTTCAGCTGATGGAGAAGACTGCCACAGCCTCTCAAAACAGTCTTCAATGCTCGTAAGCCCCAATCATAGTGCTGCTGTGGTGTCAGAAGCTCCCTAAAGTAAAAACCAGCAATACTGTAATAACCTTTAAGTTACAGCACCTGAAATTTGTGTTTAGCAAATTAACATGCTCATAACTTGATTTCAGGCAAAAGAGAAACTGGTAAGTATTAGCAGCACCATCTGAAATCTATTTCTGAGATATAAGCAATGACATTTTGAAATTTTCAGAGGGAGCATACTCAATAGACAATGTATTTATTATTGTCCCTAACATCATTAATTAAAACCTCTGAACTTTGTTCTCTCTCATATGCATACTTATAACCAAATAATCACTTCCACCTCAAAAAGTTGAAGAGTCTAAATTCAATACAATGCTTGTGAACATTCATACGTTCACATTCATATTTACTGAGTGTAACAGGGAAGTAGTACTTTGCCACTTTGAGATTATAGATTCATTCCAGCTATTTCACACCTGAACCTGCAATATTTTTTATTCATTCAATCTACAGAGATTTGCATGGTGTATTTTCAGATCTAAGAATCATACTGAATCTAAAACTTCAGATTACTCCAAACCTGCGGTTTTTATGTCTAGCTTTGTTTCTGACACAAAGCTTTCAGCAATATCCAAGTCATAAAATGCTACAGAAAATTAAGAGAAAGTATGTATAGATTGTACCTCTACAGTCATGCTTTGGCATAGACTAGATGAAGAAGAAACAAAACAGCAGTGAGAGAACCACAAAGATCAAGTCTACAATAGAAGCAGGAGGGAAGAGAATTAGAAAGGCAACATGACTAATGGGGAAAAAGAAAAAAGCTTACCTTGCTAGATTAAAAATAGCCACTAATTTTCTACCAAGTATTTTTGCATCCTTAAAGCCTTCTGAGTACAAAATCACTTCTGCAATGAGTTCATTGTCTGGATGAGTCATAGCAACTGGCCTGAAAAGTTGTTTGAGGTTATCAGGCAGTTTTTGTCTTCCTCCATAACCTTTTCCAGCGGGATTCAGCGTGATAAAAATTCCAGAATTATGATCCATTTCAACCTACCATTAGAAGTGCATTTTAATACTATATTGTCACATGAAACAGTGTTGAGAAATGTTGAGCGGACTACTTTTAGTTGCAGTAGTCAGATTTTAAGGTTGAACTAGTTGTTTATAGACTATTTTTATAAGACAAAAATAAGTCCTGCTGTACCTTTTTGCCAAGCATCTCACATATAGGACTATGTTTCCTCAATGCATGTTGAATCGTCTGAATCTGCATGGATACTGCAGACAATACAGCTTCCTCAAGTCTATTGAATTCATCAAAACAGCCCCAGGCACCACACTTCACTATGCCCACAAATATGCGCCCCATCGACTTCACATCGATGCCCTTAAAATTAAACAGAATACTGTCAAAATTCAAATAACAAGAAAATAATGAAAGACTGTCTTCCTATCTACTAAAAAATATGGTGTTGGAAAGATCTACAAATTTCTAATGGAAACTGACAAATTACCAAAAGTATTTCTAGCACATAATATTGCCTTATGAAGTAAGGGCCATTTCCTTAATTATACAGAAGCCTATTCACCTCATCACAGTTAAAGACCAATACTTGTCTTCCAAGAAGTCCACCCAAGGCCTTTACTGATTCGGTCTTTCCAGTTCCAGCTGGACCATAGGGATTTCCTCCAAGGCCCATCTTCATAGCCTGGGTAAGCGTTAGGTAACACTTATCCGTCAAAGGCGTATAGACAAGTTTAGGGGAATTACCCTGAAGAAACAAAACAGGTTGACTGGTAAGAGAAAAATTACTGACAACATAATTTCATTAATTTCATTCATATGTCATTCATTTGAAAATATAACAAAATGGTCAAGAATAATGTCTCATTAAGTATATGAATCTCTTTGCAATTATGCACTTTTCCTGATTTTATACCAAATGTCAAAGAACTGTGCCAATTATTTTAAGAATTAGAGAAGAGGGGTCAACACTGGTGAAATGGCACTCTGATATATAAAAGCAGCAAGCATATTAGAAAATATTTATATGATACCATAGCTACCTTCCATACAACTGAAATTTACCCTTTCAACACAAAAAATGAAAATTTTTACCTTATCTTTTAGTATTTTCTATGAAATAGCAAGCTAAAGACACAATAGAGTTGAAAAAACGGCAACAGCTGGGGGACAACAAGCAGCATGTGTGAAATAAGAAAGTGTTTGACATGTATATAAATGCCACCAGGTAAAAATTAAAAATACCATACCTGATATTCATAAGTATATTGGAGTTCAGCATCTACCATCTGAATGTAACATTTTTGGTTTTTCATGTAAAATCTCAGCTGCTTCTTCCAAGCCCAGTCCTCAACACTGTGAACCTGAGCTTGACTCAGTTGCTTCACCACATCAATGTTATGAATGATATCAAGAATAAGAGCTTTAAGCTTGAGCTCAAGGATTCCTGATTCTGCAAATAACCATACACACACAAAAAAAATCACACCAGTGTAGTAAGGATACATGTTACCCCATTCTCAAGTTCATTGTGCTGCTCTCTGTTATCAGTGGATTTTACTCAGATCTCATTTCAATCATCAGTCTAAAGCAAGCAGCATAAAATAGGATCCTGATAGAGAATGCGAATCAACATGTAACTTCAGTCATTTAAAAGTGATTTTGCCTGCCTCTACACTCAACAGAGAGATAGAGACTTTTCTAGAAAGCAGTTTATTCCAAGAGTGTTTATGGCTATGTCCACTTCAGTAATTGGTGTGTCACAATAGATCTCCTGAAGATCTGAAAACTGTACTACACACACCGTGGAGATTGTACTCACACTAATTAGGGTGATGTAGAATGAATGTTCATCAGCAGATTGGATGCACTAAGCGTACACTGAGAATATATTTTTTAATTTAGTTTCATTTACAGTAAATCCAGTTTGTGTGCTCCTATACCATTGCCTGATGGGAACTAAACTAAAATATGCAGGAATAATCAGGCAACTCACTTCAACATCACGCCTATCATCCAAATGAAAAAGTTACTGTGAACGTATTATACAATAGATGGAATGGATGCTTTGCTATAACTGATGACATTTCTCCAGTTGCTACAGAAAGATCACATAAAGGGAGCTTAGATAAAGAAGCACACTTATGGACTGCTGAAGGTAAGAGATACGAATCCTATTCCTAATTCACATACCAGATGTTAACAGTTCATAAATTTTAAACTGGAACTCAATACAGTAAGCAGCTAGACAAATGAGGTAGAAGATTGTCAATTGTACATCAAATTGAGTCTTTTTATATATATACAGGATAAGAACCATCTCACCTAACCTACCATATAGAATTAGGCATTCAAAGCTCCCCTTCTGGTCAAAAGAGAGTAATAAGCATTCAAAGGCATAATTATTCTAACCCATTTGGACTAAAACTCAAAAAATCACATGTTGAGAATAACTATTTTATAAGGTTTGCTACAGATGTACTCAAGAATTATTACCTCAGATGCAGATGTATACATATAAGATAGAAAAAAAGAATCACCTACACAGTTGCATAGAATACACTGACATGACATAATGTACCTCAACTGCTCTTCAGCCAGTTCCCGTGAAACATAACACTGGAGCACAGTTCAGTAGGTGAGGACAATTATCAATAAAAACATTAACCAAAAAAAAATACAGTTATTAAAAAAATAACTGAAGATGTTTAAAAAATTATAAAAGCTTCAGGATTATTTTTAATGTAGATAAAAATCCATTTAATATTAAATACACTAATCTTGGCAGTAATAGGTGGGTAACTACGTAATTCAACTCTATGAACTCAAACCCAGACAAATTTATATAATTTCCTGATTGAATAAACATAATGTTAAATACTACACAACTATGTAGTTATTATGAAGAATTATATACTAACAATCATTTTTATACCTGAACTCCCAGTATCTTCTATACTGGTATCAATGCTAGTATAATGCTCCAGTTTAGCCGTAAGTTCTAATTCTAATTGTTGCAGATTATGGTCTCTGATAGCACTTTCAACATCTTCAGTGAACTGAATTTGTTCTGCCAAGGAAAGAATCTTTGGAAGAAAAAGTTCAAACAACATTTTATAAATACACAAGACATACAGGAAAAAAAGTTTTCCAATTTATTTGTAATCACTTATCATGTCTGATATTTCAAGTATTTTACTGTATCATTTTTAAATGCAGCCACACATTTGCTATGCGCTTAACTATCTTATAACCTGAACAACAATAAATTGCAATAGAATCTAATACAGGAAATCCCTTGGCTGTTCTACAGCATGTGGTAGCAAAATTTTTAAAGTAGCTTTTCCATTGGATGATATATCACAGAATCATAGAAGGTTCGGGGTTGAAAGGAACCTCTAGAGATCATAGAATGGAATGGAATGGCCTGGGCTGGAAGGGACCTCAGAGATCATCTAGTCCAACCTCCCCATTTTGGGCAGGGACACGACCTCTCGACTAGACCAGGCAACACATGGGGACCGAGTGGGAATCGAACCCGTGACCTTGATGTTGGTCCTCGTTGCCAGCACCGTGCTCAAACCACTGAGCTAACCGGCCCCCTAACCCTCTGCCAGAGCAGGATCGCCTACAGAAGGTCACACAGGAACACATCCAGGCGGGTTTTGAAAGTCTCCAGAGGAGACTCCACAACCTCTCTGGGCAGCCTGTGCCAGTGCTCTGTCACCCTCACAGTAAAGAAATTTCTCCTCATGTTGAGGTGGAACTTCCTATGTTCTAACTTAAACCCATTATTTCTTGTTCTATTGCTGGGCACCACTGAAAAGAGGTTCCCCTTCCTCTTGACACCCACCCCTCTGATATTTATATACATTAATAAGGTTCCCTCTCGGCCATCTCCTTTCAAGACAAAACAGCCCCAGTTCTCTCAGTCTCTCTTCACAGGAGAGATGTTCAAGTCCCTTAATTATGCTCGTAGCTCTCCATTGGACTCTCTCCAGCAGGTCCCTGTCTCTCTTGAATTAAGAAGCCCAAAAGAGATGGAAACTATCATATTGTAGCCACACTGAGCCCACATTCAATAGACTCAGGAGCATGTCTGACTTTTTGTGCCACTGATCTGCTAATATAGAATTTTGCACTTCAACTTCCAATACTCCACTTACGTTCTAATTATATTCATGAGAAAAGCCCTGTTTGAGCTATGAAGTTCAGTCAAACTCAGACCTAGAAAGATCGGTAACACAAAATTCCACTAATTACAGTAAGATTTGTAACAGTGATTATATTCTGGGGGAGGGAGAGACTATCCAGCAGACCTGTAAGGCAGTGACAGACAGGATCGCTGAGCAAAGGGCATGAGGTGATGTGACAGGAAGGGGTCACAAAAAACAACAAACAGGGCTTGAGCAGGGTCACCTCCAGCACTTGTGTGTCAGCAAGGAAGTGCCTACAAGGCACCATTATGGAGAAATCCCCCAAACCCTCTCCAGAAAACACACTGGGGCACCTCTCTAAAATGCCTGTACACTAGTGCCTGCCGTGTGGGGAATAAACATAATGAACTAGGGCTCTTTGTGCAGTTGCAGGGCTATTTCTGCTTATACAACTAAGCTGTAAAAAGTGTATTTTAAACACACAAGAAGATTTTTTTTCTGTTTCTAGGTCTTAGCAGCCCTGCATGTAACATTCATTACCAACTAAGATCAAGACTTACATCAAATTTAATAAATTAATGTTAATGTTAGATTATGTGCCATGTAAAAGACTTCACTATTTCAAATATTTACAAAAGATTCATACTTTTAAGATATAAATTAATAAAATGGTTTTGTTTGGGGTTATTTTCTTCCAAAACCATACATATACTTCCTTATGAGACTTCAAACTTGGTAAATCTAAGACTACATTGTGGCATTACTGAATCAACTACTACCTGGGAAGGAAAGAGCGATGGATCAATTGAACCTTGTGATTTTTTTCCAGCATCGATACAGTCAATTAACATTTTTTTCAGGGTCTCCTTCATCTCCAAAGCCAAACTGTTTAGCCACACCTGACAAAGAAATGAAAAAAACTCAAAAGTTACATTACAAAATACTTTCTCAAAGATGCCTGAACTACACTTGGATGTGATTTTCTTACCTCCACATCATTTGACAGAAGGACTTTATTTCTAAGTGGCACGGTTTCTCCTTCTACAGACTTCATGGCAACTATGTATTTAAATTCTTCGTCAAAGCTCACACTATTAATGCCTATTAATCAGAAGAAAAGCAAGGGATTTATATACTGTTACAGTCAAACAAAAATTCTTTAGTGTCTAGTAGCAGAAAGAGAGAAAAAAAAGTCTGCAACAGATTATTTAGCTTTGAAGATCCTTATTTCTAAATAAGTACATTTCTGAAATGAAGATTTATGCTTTACCAGCAAAAAGTTTCTTAAGATGAGACTGGATAACCAGAGGATTTGTAGACTGTCCTAAAATTTCTAATAGGTCATCATCTCCAATGAAATAGAATCTTGGAAATGCTGAGCGCTTCTCCTGTATAAAAACAAAATAAATCAGTTTTGTTGATTTAAACTCAAACTTATTGACTTTCCTTATAGAAAACTGTATTAATGTCAACTGTACCTCCAAAAACTCAATCAAAGATCTCTGACATCTCTGAAGCTGGTCAAGGATGGTAATTAAGGTATTTCTTATTCCCGTCCGGACATTCAGTGATGTTATCCTATTGTCGCTCTTGATATCTGACATAATTGATCTTGACAGAAAAAAATGGAATAATTCATAAAACAACCATTACAATTTTAATCCAAATATGACATACAAAAAGTTATGTAAATAAAAATTCAAGCATAGGTAAGTCGTATAAATAGCTGATATATAACTTCCAGTTTTCAGTATTGATGATGAAACATTTCAGATTTTACATCAGTGTCTCTCCAATATAATTTAAAAATAACTGTTGCATGCTAAAATTTCTCTACCTAAAACCAAGAAAATTCAATTATTCACTTTTATTTCTGTATTTCTAAAATCTCCTTTTTTATCTCGTTCACTTATGTGGAACAAATAAACCATCCCTTTCTCCCAAAAGTCCACCTGTATACTTTCTTAGAGAACAAAGCGCTTGTCTTTAACAAGAAACAACTGTTGAAAACAGAGTTGCATCACCTCTGCTTCTGTTGACAAGACTGATCTTGTGTTCACCCGACTTTTTTGTCATCTTTGATGTTTCATGTGATTCCTTTCTTCACGTATACCCCACTAAATGAAACCAATGGTACCACTTTTATTCAGATCTAAGTCACTGCCACACATCTGTGTCTACTGAATTCCTGCT